CAAGTGCTGGCGAGGCTGTGGGCAAGGACCTGCCTGCTGATGGGGGGACACTGCTGTGGGAATTAGTGGCCGGATTCCTCAGAAGACCACTGGTGGAAACTCCCTGCCTCCGCAGGCCTGCCGTGATGCTGCCCAGTGGTGGCCGTGTCAGGGCCCAGCAGACAGGCTTTGCTGCCCTCCTTCCCTCTGTTTCTGCCCTGGTCTGCAGCTTTGCATACTTAAGCAGCCTCTGTGTCTGTTAGTAAGTATTCTACAGTACCCCCAGGTGGTAGATTTTGTGAGTACAACATTTCTTTATTTGTGCAAGGACAGTGGAAGGCGTTGGCTGTACAACTCACGTACCCTGAATGGAGCTGTGTTGTTTTATTGTCCTTAACTGTTTCTTTGTAGTCAGCATGTCACACTGGGACATGTGTGACGAATGCCACTGACTGGGCCCGCAGAGCTGTCCTCTTTGGAAAGGTCTGCCCATTCTCACATTATCTCGTCCTTTCCAGCAGGTGTGTGCAGACACAGGTTTGCCTGGTCAGTGAGCTGTAGGCTTTTGAAGCTGATGCGAGAAACAGCAACCACCTCTCTGAAAGCATTTTATACCTTGTTGCATACTAGTACTAAAATTTACACATTTTCCTTAAGTTTACAGTTTGCTTTAAACCTTAGTGTGTGTTGGTCAATTACAATTCAAATTGATCATTTGCTTTTATAATTACAATTAAGATTTTTAATTCACTGTGTTTTAAGTCTCTATGAAAAAGTTCTTATTCTAGGCCCTTCTGTCTGACTAAACATTATACTGTTTCACTAATACAGATTATATTCTGGGGCAGTTAAAAGAGAAAGCTGTAATTTTCAGACTACAAAGTAGGGAGTCTGGGTGTGCTGGCCCACACCTGTAATCCCAGCACCAGGGAGGCACAAATCAGGACGATCACTACGAGTCGGAGCTGTGTGGGGAGACGCTGCACAAAAAGAAAAAAAAAGTAGGGCCAGCCAGATAGCTCAGCAAACTAAAGCACCTGCTTAAACAGGTGCAGGGACCGGGGTTCTGTCCCCCACATGCCATGCCAGCCCCACCCCAGGGCATGCCTGTAATCCCAGCGCTTGGGAGGCTGAAAACAGGAGGATCACTATGAGTCTGATCTGTCCCTGAGGCTCTGTAAGACCCTGTACTAAAACAGTGGCAACAACAACAACAACAACAAAAAACCAACAGAGAATAAATACCAAGTACCGTGTAAGTATACCTGTTCAGGTTCATTTGGTTCGCATTGTCCCAGGTTTCCCTTTGTCCCCTTTCCAGCCGTAAGACTATGTCAGCATGCATCTCCTGTCCTCCATGCTGACTGTCCTGTTACTTTACAGCATCCCAGCTCTGGATTTCCCTTTGCTGCTGACCACTAGGAAACGTTTTGTCATTATATAGTTTTGATGGCAGCAGAATAAGTCAAGTTTAGAATATAGCCGATCACTGAAAATGTTATTCAGAGTCAGTCTCTTCCTGAGAAGTCCTTTTGATGCCACGCATGTCATGTGTTGATTGCCCTTGGCAGAGTACTTGGGAGTTTATTGTCAAATTGATATTACTTATAAATACTTTGATTTTTTTTCTCCTACAGCAAATCCCTAACCACCTAGATAAAAATCTTCTCTTTCAAATTAGATTCTAAATTCCTCAAAGTCTACTTTTACTATAATTTTGCGTGTTCCCTCCTATGAATGATGGGTGACACTTTCTGTATTTCATTGTATCGGTTCAGCAATATTCACTTGGTGAGTTTATAGGTAGACATCCAGAAGGTGGAAGGGAAACCAGTGATGTACAAATGTGAGTCTTCATTTGATGGATTGTTCTAGTTGGTGTTTATAAATCAAAGGTGAGTATGTTTTGCAGTTATGAAACAGAAAATAGTTTGCTCTCTTTAAGAAACTGTGGAGTTTTAGAGGGCCAATGAGATGGCTCAACAGACTCAGCACCTGCTCAGGGAAGTGCAGGGACTGGGGTTCGATCTCTGGTCCCACAAGCAGTGCTAGCCCTGCCCCTGGGCATGCTGAACCACCACCAAGTCAGGTATGGTGGCGCACACCTGTGATCCAGGCTGAGAACAGAAGGATCACTCTGAGTCCGAGCTGCATAGTGAGACCCTGTGCCAAAATACATTAAAAAAAGTTTTTTTTAAAAAAATTTTAAAAACCATGGGGTTTTAGCAGTTTCACAGAATTTTCCAACTCTTGCATTGTGAGAAGAACTTGTACTAACAAAGTAGAACTTACTGGAAATGTATTAAAATCTGAAATTTAGTGTTTAAAAGTGAATATAGCCCAGGCACCTACAAGACAGCTTTGGAGCTCTGTTGCCCATCGCAGGGATAGATGAACAGAAATTATAATCCTAATACTTGTGAGGCTGATGGCTGAGGATCATTGCAAGTTCAAGAGCAGCATAGTCTACAAAGTGAGCTCAAACCCAGCCTGAATTGCATAGCAAGACCCTGTCTCAAAAAGACCAAAAAAAAAAAAAAGAGAAAAAAAAAAGTGAGATTGCTGAGAGCTGGGGCTGGAGCTGGGGCTCAGCTCAGGAGTGCCTAGAATCCTGGAGGACTGTGCTTCAGTCCCCAGCACCACGAAGACTTAAGTTTTTGAACATTAAAAATAAACCCTGTTGAAATTTATTGTAAGGTCATGCTTTTTACTGTCACTTTATTCACATGTCTGTAAAATTATTTGTAAAATGCACTTTGTTTAAAGAAGAGTCTGTTGTCATCAGATTGTAGATGGTGACTTTGTGTGTGTATATACTGGTCGTTCAGATAAACTATTGAATAAAGTAACAGCATTTATTAAAGCAGTTTTTTAAAGCAGTCATAACACGTGCAGGAGGCAGGTTGGGAAGGGAGCAACAGGCGACCTCAGGGGCAGCCTCTAGCGAGCAGCAGCAGGAGGGCTGGCGTGGCACTGGATGAGGAGGTGGAGCCACAGATGGAAACACAGAGGCTTGGACAGAAAAGGAGCAGCAGGGCCAAGATATCTCTGTATCAAAACATGGAAGATACAGAAAACCATAAAAAGATCTTCCACTTAAATAGAATGTGAAAATTTCAGAGCATGCTGTCCTCAGGTCCACGGCGTGACATTAGACGAAGGCAGTGATTAAAGCCAGACATTATTTCACCTAGTTTATTTTGTTTGTTACTAAAATAATTTAAGTACCAATAACTGAACTTTGATCTGTAGTACTGAAAATATCTCTTTGATCTTAGACAATAAGAGAAAAATAAAAAATAAGAAACATAAAGGGTGACTGCTACCTTCCCAGTGCTTAATTTACAGTGAAAATCTGACGTATGTTTCTAGTCTTATTCTGGACTTGTGTTCCTTCTTTTTCATTTTCATTTTCTTTCCTTTTTTTTCCCCCTTAGGACATAATATCTTTTTGTGTTTATTCTTTACCTTCTTGTTGGTCCACGTTTGCAGGGCATAGTGGCCTCACCCCTTGTGCGGGGCTGAAACTCGGACATGATGTGCCTGTCCGTGCTTTTCGTTCCCTTCCCTCCTCTCCTGCGCGCCCACCTGCATCCACTGACCCCATCCCGTCTGAGAAAGATCCATGTCCCCACTCCCCGTTATCCTTTGATTTGCTTTCTGTTTATTATTTAGTTTTCTTATATAAGAAAAAACACGCGCTGCGTAAGCCTCTGCATCGGACTTGCTTTACCCAACGTTATGGTCTGCAGGTGCATCCACTTTTAACAAATGATGTAAGTTTATATTTCTTTGTAACAGCAGTGCTGCATTATAAATGCGTAAACACCGTTTCTTTTTTTTTTTTCTTCGCAATATACAAAGTTCACTTTATTTTTTTTATTTTTCTTTTCTTTTCTTTTTATTTTATTGATAAATAACAATGAGACAGTTTCAAACCAAATTGGTAGGACAGTTTCAATAATTGACACATTGCATACATTCTTCCTAGTGGTTAATTGCTGTACAAGATGCGGACATGACATCCTGTTTACATTTCTTTATCTCTTCTGCCGATGGAAATACAGGCTACTTCCAAGATTTAGCGATTAGGGGGCCTGCCCCTTAGCTCAGTTCTTTAAGTGGCTGCTTCAACAAGGCAGTCAGGCTCAGGTTGCTGTGGTTTGATCCCCACAACTCAAGCCAGCCAAACCTGCCCTGAAGGCATTCGGAGCAAAAAAAAAAAAAAGATTTAGCGATTAGGCGGGTGTGTGTAGATCACTATAATATGACGTCATTAACTCTCTTGAGAAGATTCCCAGAAGAGAAACAGTTGAGCCAAGTGGATGTGCTAAGATGGCGTGGTGGCACACGCCTGAAATCCCAGCTCTTGGGAGGCTGTAAACAGGCGGCTCACTACGAGTCCAATCTAGTAGGGAGACCCTAAACACCCTGTAGACCCTTCCCTAAAATACAAAAAAAAAAAAAAAAAAGGACTTTCTAGTTCCAGTTTATTGAGGAATCTCCTTACCGATTTTCCTGGTGGTTGTACTAGTTTACAATCCCACTGACAATACAAGGGTTCTTTCCCCGCAGCCTCGCCAGCGTTTGTTTTTACTTGATTTCTTGATGGTGGCCAGTCTTTCTGGAGCAAATGGTATCTCAGTGCTGTTGTTTGTCTGAAGGCCAGAAATAATGAACAAGTTTTCATGAATTGGTCAACCATTTGAATTTACTCTGAGAAGAGTCTGTTGATTTCACTTGCCCCTTCTTGACTCGGCGTTCTATTTGGAAAGACCTCGTCCTCTCGAGTTCTTTGTGTGTTCCCGATGTCAGTCCTCCAGGGAGCGGCGGCCATGTCTTCTCCGCTTCCGCGGGCCGTCTCTCCGCCACCGCATCGGTGGCTCCTCTTGCGGAGCAGAGGCCTTTCTATCTGATGTGACCCCACTTGCTGGGCCTCCGCACTGCCTCTGGCGCAGCTGGGGCCCTGCCCAGCGCGTCTGAACTTGCGTGCTGAGTGTCTCGGGTTTTGGTTTTTACAGCATTATTGCAGTGACTTCATTTCTTTCTGCAGGCCAACTCTGAAAGAAGAAAGGAAAATCCTGATAAAAAACGGGAGGCACCCCGTGATTGATGTGCTGCTGGGCGAGCACGAGCAGTATGTCCCCAACAGCACCAGTCTGTCAGTGAGTACCACCACCAGAAGGGGGCGGGACGGTGACACCACCCAGCCTCTGAGTGTGCTGCTTACAGCTCAGGGTTATGCAAGCTTAGCTGTGGCTTTAAAGGCTTTAGCTTTTTCTTTTTGGTACCACGTGTGGCTGGGCTTCATGGGCCGGGTGATTGGGACCCGTGCGCTTGAGGTGTGGTGTCCATGGGCTGAGGCCAAAAGGTGCCTGGCCCTGACAGTGTGATCCGTGTTTTATCCAGGAGGAGAAGGGTGGCGGGCAAGACAGGTCAGAAGGAGGGTGGCGGGCAGGAGGCGCCTGTCTCACCCGGTGCCTGTTGACATGGCGCGCTGCCCCTCCCTCTGCCTGGGCTGTCGTGCCGTGCTGCAGACTGGCACCGCGTGAACCATAGCAGTTGCCTGTCCTCTGGAGGCCAGGCTGCAGGGCCTGCTGAGGGAAGTTGCTGGCCCTCGGGTGCCTTCTCGGGGTCCTTGCAGCCTGGAGCAGGGAGGCCCTGCTGGGCACTCAGGACCCTGGCACCTCCTGTCACCCCATCCTCGGAGCTGGAATTTCAGCGTGCTGACAACACCCCAGACCCTGTGTCTGTGCACCTGCTCATTCCCATTAAAAAGCCTGTTTGCTGCTTACTTTATCAAGCAAGTTGGTCAGTAGAGTCTTGGTGAGTCCTGACGCCGTCTCTGCGGAGGCCTGTGTGAGCCCGAGAAGTTCTTTGTAGTTCTCATCACTCTTAGAGGATACAGCTTTTCTTGAGAAAGAACCAGGACTGGTATTTGGGAGGGTGGTTTATGTTTAACTTATAAATCACTTTACTGTTTCTGCCCTGGTTCCCCTGCCCTGTTGCCTGAGCCCTCAGCATCGATTGCTTTTGTTTCTTTGTTTTCTCTCCTTTTTCATTCTCCACCCCCTTTCTTTTAAACAAGGTATTATATTGTTTAATAAATTAATATTTGGAAAACTAAAACAGCCTTCTAATTACAGGACATTTTAAAGAAACACTGAATGCTTGTATTTGAATCATTACAAAACAAATGGAGAGAATTTTTCTAACAGACACCAAGAATGTTCCAAAAACTCATGTCTTTTGCATAGGCTTTTTCTAACTTGAGTAGGAGTTGATATGGAGCTGTTGCTATGGTGAGGTGCATTCTACTTTTTGGTGAATAAATTTATATATAGGACTAGTGTTGAGAAAAAATTCAGTATGAAGACTTGCTCCAAAACACATTATGTCACTAATTTGTAATGCAGACTCTGCAAAGAATCCCCTCCGCGTGTGGTGGCATTGCTGCTTTTGACAGTCGTTTGCCTTCAGACATGGCCCCTCACACATGCGGAGGGCAGGTGCTGTCTGCCCTGGGTTCCGTGAGATCCTGGGCACGCGTCTGAGCGAGCCTTCCGCGCCACTGTCCCCTCATGGCAGGAGACTTCCAAGCTCACCTTTCCTTATTCCCGTCCCCACCCCACTGGGCACACAGGCATCTGCTGGTCAGGCAGCCCCCCGCCCCCATTGATCTGTACCCGGAGCTGCAGCCTCCAGCCTGTCGGGTTACTGTCCCCTTGGGACATGCGCTGGCCCTCCCACATTGGGCTCACACCGCAAGCCCATGGGAGCTGGCGGGTGTTCTGGCTACCTGGAGCCCCCCACCCCTGGCCTGTCTGCACCTCCCACACCGCGCTGCCTCTGGCCCCCTCCAGCCACCGTGCATCTCCGGCTCAGCCAGTGAGCACCCTGCGGGAGGCCCTCCCTCACCATTGCAGGAGGGCGCCTGCTGTCTCCATGCCTTCCTAGTCACCGGCCAAGTCGAGTGGCGCTCTTCTGGCTGCATTTCAGGCTGGAAGAGAGCAGGGCTTAGGCACTTTCATGTGGGTGTGATCCTTTTGTCTGTTACACACTGTGACACATAGCAAAAGCCTCATCCACTCCATTGAGGAAGAATTAGCTGGAAGCGTCCAGCAGGCTCCAGGTCTCACCCTGTGGTTTTGCCTTTGTTTCACTCCATAAAATGCTACTTTTTCAGATGTTCTATTGAGGTTTCACAGTTTGAAAAATACTTGTTCTGTAACCTTAGACAGGAATCCCGTGGTGTGAGGGGACTTTCCAGAGGTTGCCCGGGTTGGACAGTCTTGACTACTGTTGTGGTTCAGATCCTGGGCGTGCGTCTGAGCGGGCCAAAAGCTCGTGTATTCACAGGCAAAAGGGCGTTGGGTCGCAGGGGGCTGTGCTGCTCCGTAGTGACTGCTGCATTGGTGAGTCAGCTAAATCTGCTTGCAGGAGGTGAAGCCCGGCTGGGGCTGGATGTGTGCTCCCGTCCCCAGCCCCCTCCCCTCCTGCTCACTCTCTCTCCTCCTCCTTGCCCCGTCTCTCTGACCACTGTGAGGTGTGCTGCTGTCCTGCCCACCTTTCTGCCTTGGAGTCAGCTGGCCGTGGACTGCACCCTGTGAACCGTGAGCCAAGAAAATCCTTCCTCCTTCTGTTGCTGATGTCGTAGTTTGTCACGGCAGTTGGAAGCTGCATAGCACAACTCTCCCAAAACACGGACCTGATCTCAGGAAGTCAGCGTTTGCCAGCCTTGCTCCCAGACACAGGTGCTGGTGGCGTTTTGATTGTGTGCTGGGCTGGGAGAAGGCAGCAGCTGGTGAGAGATGCGCTGGGGTGCTGACCTGGGGCCACCTTGAGGCTCAGCACTTAGCACCCTGGCATAGCTCTAGCCTAGGGCCCCACTGAGGCAGCCTGCTTGGGCCATCCCACTGCAAGCCTGCGGTCTCTACTCTGCCATGCTGGCTTCTTTACTAAACCTACTGGCTTTCTCATAGATGGATTTTTGATAGCATGTTGAGATTTTGAGTGATTTGTTTTATTTAAATTAAGTAACATAAGTTGAATTGATAAAGGCAGTTAGGGGAGGCAAGTGAGTCAAATGGGGCATCAGGGAGCACGTGGAACCCCTGGATCTCCAGAGCCCCGACAGCCACCGCCCAGCTGTCCTCACCTCACTCACTGCCTAACCCACCTCAGCCTCTGAACAGGGTGTGGCACGTGACGCAGGAGTGCCTGACACTGGTGAAGAGGATGGCGAGCTTTCCTGATTTCAGACACTTTGGCGGCCCAGAAGTGCTTGTCCTGGCTGTGTACGAATCAAAAGACTAATGTGGGTAGTATGCAGAAGCTGGCCCCCCTCTGTACTCACTTGCCAAGCAGGACAGCAGTAGCACACATGGTAATCCAGCCTGAACTTGGAGCTTAGCTGCGTTCTGTGGCTAGATCCCCCCCATGGATCCTGAAGAAGTCTCTTCCCATACTGCAGCTCCTGGGTCCTGAGCCCAGGCGCGAGCACTAGAGGGACTATTAATGGTGATTCTTCTTCAAGACCCAACAGCATACCACCTGTGCCTTAGTCTGTCGTTGTCACCATAGGCAGAAACAGTTACTATATTTTAACTGTGTTTGAAATTCTTATCCTGTACTGCATTTTGGTACCTGGGGACAGCGGGACGTTGATGGTCAGAGATACAAACCCAGTCCTGTTCTGCACGGCTTCCCTACTGTTGTGGATAGGCCACTGTCCTTGCTGCGCCGTGCTGGGCCCTGCTTTCCTGTCCTTGGCAAGGAGGTTCATGCCCAGTTGCTCTTAAGTGCAGTGGCACTGCCATGGGCACTGCCATGTGGGGAGGGTGGGGACCCGACCGCGTCCTGCTCTTCCCCACTGCCCATCCCCGTCATGTACCTTGTATTGAGGGTGCACAGCTGTGGTGGGAGCCGTCGGCGCAGCGGCTTTCCCTGGGGAGCCACCCTATCACCACCATGATCGTCTGCGAGGATGGATGTCAGTGCTGGTGCTCGTCAAGGGAGGAGGCATCATTTGCAGAGAAGTAACTGTTGCTGGCCTTGGAAATGAGCATGACGGTCTCGGCCTCTCTTCTCCACCGTGTACCTTCTGACGGTACCTCCTGGCTGACCGGAGAACAGTGTCCCCATGCCAGACCCAGGGGCTCGCAGCTGAGCCCTGCCTCAGTGGTTCCCTCACTGACAAGGGTCCCCCTGGATGCCTGTCAGGGTGGGAGCTGTATGACGCATCCTAGCTCTTCTGCTTAGCAGCTCAGCATCACTGGGCGTGGCACCCTGCTCCTCCTGGCCTCCATTTACTCATGTCTAACATAGGAATAAGTAAAACGGGTGTAATGTCACACACCTGAAACCCTAGGGCTCAGGAGGTTGAGGCAGGAGGATCGCCATGAGTTCAAAGCCCTCCCGAACTGCGTAGTGGGACCCTGACTCAAAAATAAATAGAAAAAGAACAGGAATATATCTGCCCTAGCACCCCCGTCTCTGACAGTGGCCAAAGCAGACTGCAGCACTGCCAGAGTACTGGCAGCGTGTGGCCCTTATCACGCTGATTCTCCTGCACCAGGTGAGGTCTGCCGGGCACTTGCTGCCCTCTGCAGGCTGTGTGCTTTCTCCTGCTGTGCGCTCTGCTGCTGTCTCTGGCCCTCAGTCTGCTGTCTCTCGTCTCTAGTCCTCTCCCAAGGTGGCTGCCGGACACACCTTGTTTTTAAGAGTAATGTTTTACAGAAACAGGTGAAGCAGTCCAGGTGTGGTGGCACACACCTGTAATCCCAGCGCTGGGGAGCTGCCCCCTACCAGATACACAGATTTAAAAACAAAAACACAGTTGAAGCATTTATAGACTCAGAGGAATATGTGTATTCTTATTTATTTCATATTTACTTATTTAATATGTTTTTACTTATTTTTTATATTTAGTACAGTCTCACTATGCAGCCTGAACTCATAGTGATCCTTGTTTTCAGCTTCCGCAGAGCTGGGACACAGGCGTGCACCCCCACGTCCGGTCTCAGCAAGCCCGAGGGCGGGGCCCGCAAAGCGTAATGCTGGGGATCAGACGCAGTACCTGACTTGCCTGAGCAGGCGCTTAGACTGCTGAGCTATCTCGCCAGCCCTGTTCTTACTTATTTTAATGTTCAGAAAACTCACAGAA